TGTAAATAATACCTGAATATGAAATATACTCTATTGGCACAGAGCCATGTGCCGGCCTGCTAAATCTGCGAAGCCTAGATTTGGGGGGTAATTCAGCTGTTTGGGGTTTCTTTGCAACCTCTTGCAGGTCACAGAAACCAATGGCAATCATTTTGAGGTCAAATTCAGTGTGAAGTATGAGATTCCCTGTTCATTTCCGCATATGCATTCAACAGCAAAGGGCATGATCTGCATAGCTACCCAAAGGGTCATTTATATCCAAAGATTTAGAATTTCAAAATGGAAAGGCACAAATGAGGAAAAATAAGAACCAAAATAACAAAACCATAAAATAATAACACCAGGGACCAGGACTATGTAACAAACAGAACTCCTCCCATATACTGTAGCAATATGGCCACAAACAATGACAGACTTGAGAACAGAATGGACACAGGCACCTAAATACACACAGGCGAGCAGGGCAAACAAGGGACAGGTGTAACTCAATCAAGTAACCAATCAGAGGCACGGGGCAACAAACAAGCAACAGATGAAACAAATTAACACTAACATGCACAGGAACTAAGGAACTAAACAGACACCAGAACTATGCAATCTAGCTATTAACTGGGAATACAAAACTAAGATAATAAACATGGAATAGAAATACAAAACAAAACCAGAACAGAATACAATCAGGGCAGTGTTTCTAGGGAGACATAGAAAAAACAGAGAGGAACAGAAACCAATTAATTACATATAAACAGATGAGGTTGGTCAGACCAGCCTCAAACCCATGACTAAGACAGATGTAGTCTTAGCCACATGTCATGTTATTTATGGTTAGGGTTTTGATTAGGTTAGGTTAGGTTGATCGGTAATACTCTTCCCTCGTCTCCCCTCTCCTTAAATTAGAATGATTATACAGGATTTTTCCACTATGTAAATTGTTCCAGCTCTGTCTTTAGCCCTGTAATTCCTGCCATGTCATGAATGTTGCAATGTGGGTCCAGGAGGAACGTTATTTAATTATGCTATGCATCATTAATGTCTGGGATTACTTGACTTGACTTGACACTTGGCCAATAAAGGTCTTTCTGATTCAGTTGAATGTAGCCAGGTAATGTAATGTAATTCTGTCAATCAGTGCTCACTGCTACCCAGAGGACAGAATTGCATCTGCATGTACCTGAACTACTTAAAACACTTCCAGGTTTGTGTGGCTGTGCTTGGAGTTTTGCTTTGCAGCTGAAATAAATGCTGACTCCATCCATAACCTCACATTTCACAAATTCATTATAAATATCAAATGACCCAAAACTATCGAGGCTATCGATCCTCAAACGAGTCTTAAGTGAGACCAGAAGTACATACAAGCACTGAAGCATCAGTGAAATGATGATGTCCATCTGGGTCAGGTACATGAAAACAAAATCCTCATGGATTTATTTCACTACCAGCAGCAACATGGAGTCAATCAGACCACAGATGGTAAGGTATGAGATAAGGAACGTGCAGCAGATGGGGAACTTCTCCCAGATCGGAGCCTCGGTGGGGGAGGGGGGGGGCAGGTATGCAGGGAATGCTGTGTGGTCCAAGTTAAAGAGGACTGTGATCCATCTCATCACCTGTCAGACTCCTAGAAACACATTCACAGGAGAGCAAAGGTTATTAGCAAGGCCTAGCATGACAAACCCAACCAGGGCTCAGCTTGAGGAAGCTAATCAAAATGTCGCTAAGCAGGACAAGCCCAATGGTGACAAGGTCAACGATGAAAAGCCCAACCATATGAAAGCTATTCATCACAAATAAGGCTAACTGTTATATCTCCTGTACTAACAAAAATGAAAACTGACTCGGGGTTTGTCTACCGCAATTCATATACATACCTTGAGGGTAATGCATGCTTCTATCATACTGTACATGCTCATGCAACTCCGTTGGATTCAATTTCCCATAATGTTGTGCCAGCTTGCAGAGCTCGGTACACATCTCTGACCATATCTTGGCGAACCATGTTAAACCATAACAGTGCAGACCATAACAACCCCAACCATTTCGGGGTCCAACCACGATAAACCGTATAAGATTTATCATTCGTTGGTAAACTAATGAAGAGGAAGTACTGGTGACAAAACGGCGATTCGTAGCAATAAGCCAGCAGCTGTGTGTCTTTTCTCCCTCAGCAGATTACCAGCGTTTGTGTCTGACCTAAACAAACAGTGAGAGAGAAGATGAAGCCTCAGTCAGTTTATGAATGACAGGTTTTGTTATGAGAAAATAATAAAGGCCACAGGTGTGCTGGAGAAAGATTAAGGTTAAAGACTGACACAGGGTCTGTGCATTAAACTGGGGAGATGCTAGAACCTGACACAGGGTCTGTGCATTAAACTGGGGAGATGCTAGAACCTGACACAGGGTCTGTGCATTAAACTGGGGAGATGCTAGAGACTGACACAGGGTCTGTGCATTAAACTGGGGAGATGCTAAAACCTGACACAGGGTCTGTGCATTAACCTGGGGAGATGCTAGAGCCTGATGCAGTGTCTGTGCGTTGAACTGGGGAGATGCTAGAGACTGATGCAGTGTCTGTGCGTTGAACTGGGGAGATGCTAGAGACTAACACAGGGTATGTGCATTAAACTGGGGAGGTGTTAGAGCCTGACACAGTGTCTGTGCATTAAACTGGGGAGGTACTAGAGAATAATGGGATAATGTGTGTGTGTGTGTGGGGGGGGGGGGACGCTTTTTCTGAGCTCATTAATAATGCAGAACTGGGGGCTTGATCCTGATGCTCTCGTCTGCAGGTGGTGTCGGTTCAAGGGAGGAAGGACGTCCTCAGAGCCACATGATGCTGGATAACGAGCGGCACCGGGCTCCCTCTTTGTGGTGCAGAGCGGTGTAGGGCAGGCCCCCGGACAGCTGGAATGCCCAGCTGCCTTATGGGGAAGGGAGGCTGGGGGGGGGGGGAGGCTTTATGATGAGCTCGGACACCTGTGCAAGCCGCTCACTTCCTCAGACAATAAATGTTTACTCAGGTAGCTGGGTTAGACAGAGAGGAACACTGTCGGGTTATATTGTTTGCCATATTGTAGATCTGCTCGGATGAGGATTCTTTGACTATTAGATATCTGACAATCTGGCACTTGAGGTTCATTTCTGCCCTTTACTCATCCACATGGAGTTTATGTACCAGAATACATTTCACTAGTGGGTAAAGGTGTGGAAACCATGAATCATGTTGTGTATCCTGTGCTGCTTTTGGGATTAAAGGAAAATACATTCTGCATATTTTGTGCGTGTGCAGGGGTCTTCATACCGACGGCAGTTAATAAAACCTGGGTGTTAAATTCCTTTGGCTTAAGCAGCGTGACGAAAACAAAGCTGGTGCTGCAGAAGTGATGCCGCCACGTTCCTCAGAAATGCTTTGAGTCTGAATCCTGATACGATGATTGAAATTCTGCTTTCGCTTCGGCCGGATTCCACAGGAAGGGGAATAAAGGTTGCTGAGATAAAAGGCAGGATTCTCCCTTTTATGTGCGGCTCTGTGTTACTCCGCGTCACCTTGAGACCCCGGGAGTCCAGCACAATGCAGCAGGGGGGGGGGCGAAGGAAAGTCTGTGAAAAGGGGCTCAGATCCAGGCCACTCTCTGCCCTTGGGGAATGTTCCAGAGTCACTGTGGAGGCTCCGACACTCGGACACGGTCGCAGTCTTTGGTGCCCTTAATGCCGGGCTGCTCTCGCTCTCCACCACCTCAGCGTGACGCTGCTGCTGCTGGACACCCTTCCGGATGCAATCCAGTCTCTCTTTGTTCACCAGCAGCTCCTTGTCCAGGTAAGTAAGATGAGTTGGCAGGACGTCTAGTTTGACTGTTTATATATCCCAGCTTTGCAGTAGGTCTGCCGGGTGATGGTCTGTTTCACTGGGTCTGTTTCTCCAGGATGGATATTTAGTGCTTTTGGCATCATGGCTTCACATCTACTCAGAAGAACGCTCACGCCTCACCTTCACAGTCTCACATGAGGACCTTCGGCAGAACACCAATCCTTACAAATATGAGGGCACCAGGAGGAGAACAAGTCAATGTTCTGCAAGGAGTACACGAGCCTGAGCCCTGCACCATCCATGTGTTCCTCAGTGACCCCCCCTCTGACACTACCTTCTTCTTCAAATTGTTCCCAAAGGTTTTTCACCTTACTCGGGAATATTGGGTTCCTCTCCTCCTCTCTCTTCTGGCATTCTTTCTTTCTTTCTTTCCCTTTTCCCTGTTTCATGCACCATTTTGTATAGATGATGCAGTAATGGATTGCCACAAACTCCTGTCAAACGCCTTGCGGAGATTATGCTGTGAAAGGTTCTACATAAAATTGGATAGAAAGGTCCCGATCGGCTGTCAGTGATACCTAAAGGTTCGTTCCGCATTGCTTTGTTCTGCTTTGCGATCTGCTCTGCGTGAGAGCGGCCTCCTGGCTGAGATCCAGCTCTGCTGTTCAGTGACAGGCAACCTGCACAGGTGTTCACAACGCAGGTGCAGAAGCAAGCAGGGGTGGGGGGTGGGGGGTGGGACTGGAATCAGAACTCGTCCTGCTGCTCCTGACCCCCCCCCCCCCCCCTCTCTCTCTCACACACACACACAAGCACTTGGAAGCTGGTCCTCATAGGGTCAAAAAACGGGTATTCATCTGTGAGGACATTTGATCCTCACAAGTAAGGTATATCTGAACCACACACACACACACACACACAAATACACTATTAGAATAATTCACTAAACCGCATCTTATGAATTTTGTCCAGAGAGCAGAACAAAAATATTATAATTCTTTCCATTAAATGGTGTCTGTTTGTTTTTAATTTAAGATCGGTTAATAATCCTGAGTTTCATCCATTACTGTTAATAAACACAAGGGATTAAGAATCCAAGCCTAGATTCTCATCTGATAAGGGCAGAATTACCAGACAGTTCATGAAGCGTGAAGCTGGTTATCCCTCTAACACATTCAAATCATAAATCAAATTCAGTTTCTTCAAGCCGAACGTTTAATATTCAAGCCAACAGGACCATCACAGACAGAGAAAGGAGGAAACAGGAAATATCCGAGAGTCTGACATTTCTTAAATGGGAACAGGATATTCCCTTAGCTTCCACTCTCGCTTATCAGGCTTAAACACCACAAACCGTTTTTTCACATTACCTTGAAAATATACAAGACCTTCAGATCTTCGTGTTCTTACATTCCCTTTATAGCATGGCATGTGCAACATCCATAATTTGGTAGCGGCCAATGTCCAGGGAGGGCGTAGATCCAGTGATGCAGCTTTGTGGCAGCCCACTGGAGAAGCTCTGACCATCAAAGGCGCTCAGCAAATGCAGTGAAACCAGGTCTTTTCATTGACTTAAGAAAAACCTACCAAAAGGGGCAGCATCATCAATTCATATTGGGATATCTGCATGGATTCCGAGGGTCAGCTGCACACACCAGCCTAAAACTAGGACCTAAGATCAGGTCCAAAGTTGCTTCCCATATGTAGGCAGGAAGTTAGATCAGGTGTGAAGCTGCTTCTTATATGGAGGTGGAACCTTAGATCTGATCCAAAGCTGCTTCTCTTATGCAGGTGGAACCTTAAATCAGACAGGGAAAAGGTACCATCTGAATGAAGCTTTAAAGCATAATGATCATGGTGGCACCTAGACAGATTAACACGACGGCACATCAGTAAGCTGGATAATACTTCTCCTCTGCCAGTGACACTCCTGCTGCCTGACACAACCTGTTGTCACTAATGAGTGTAGCGAGGTGTGAACGTCCCCCAGCTGCAACGGGGACATCGGGCATCATAACAGATTTACTCACGTCCTGCTGGACAGCACCGGGCCCTGGCCCTATAGCCCCAGTGCCAGACCCCTGGAGGAACCCAAATCCACGGAACCTGGACGAGAAAAGAGACGTGAAGCGCGATGGAGGACGAAAGCGGTACACCCCCGTTATCGGACGGCCATGCTAGCTGCGTTAGAGGTGCGTTAGAGGTGCTGAAAGGTGTTCTTGTCAATGCCGACACTCACAGCGTGTTAAATGCTGATTTTAAAAAGTAACAGTGTCTGAACATCCTCACATTATCGAACTTCGAATGTGTCCATGGACAGTGTGAGCCCACTCACAGGAGGTGAAAAGTCAGGTGGGAGGGAATTACTCACTGGTTACTAAACAGAAAATGGAAAACAATTTTTTTCATTACAAAATGCTCTTTTTTTGCTGATACTTTTTTTTTATATATATATATATATATATATATATATATATATATATATATATATATATATATATATATACACACAAATTAAGAAGGCATCCTGAACTTTATTATACCTTCTGATTGGGAAAATGTGCCATTTCCAATTCTGGACACACTCTCAATCACAAACAGAATCACGTCTGTAATCGCTGCGAATTGCAGGAAGCCAGCTAGACGATGGCAGACTGTTTACACCCCTGGGGCTCGATCCATCTCCTAACTGGTTATCTTGTTCATGGGGGCATGGAGCCTACCCAAGACAGTACAGGCAACAAGGCTGGGGGGCACTCAGTTCACCATGGGGCACATATTCACACACACAAACACACACTGCGGGCAATTTCAGGACCCTGGCTAGCATAATTGCGTGGCTTTGGAACACGCAGAGAGGGAAGATGCAAACTCCATACACACAGCGCAAGCAGGATTCGAACCCCCAACCCCATAGGTAGGGGCTGACAGCTACCATGCTGACAGTCTTTGTAAAAAGCCCTGCCATAAAAATGTGTGGTTTCATACCTAAGGCTCCACCTAGAGCCAAATTAGACCAGACCATCACTTAGCAAATTCAGTTTCTGTCCCTCATTAGTGTCAAATTCATTTACATTTTGCATTTATTTAGTAGACGCTTTTATCCAAAGCGACATAAATTCGGAAGCATGGTTATGATGTCCTTGGAGAAACTGGGAGTTAAGGGCCTTGCTCAGGCACCCAAAGGCAAATTCACTCAGTCAATGCTGGGACTCGAACCTGCGACCTTCTGGTCACAAGCACAGCATCCTTCAGTTTACCATGAGCAAAAGTGTTTCATTTTGATTTTATTTTGAGAGCATTTATAAAACAATAAGAACAAAATACCATTTCAAACCGTGCACAAACAGACGATGCTGGACTGGATCTCTGCATGACCAGCCACAGCCCAACCAGGCCTCTGAGGGCAAAGTTCACATGATCCACCATCAGTTTGCCGGTATTCGGGTGAAGGACCATTCGGTACATAAGGCTGGGGGATCGGAGAAAAGGCGGGGTCAAGGGTGGATTTGGTGCAAGGCGGGCCAGTCGCAGCTCAGTCCACATCTACGTCCAGGTCGATCTCGGTGCTCAGATTGAGGTAGAAGAAGGCGTAAATGCTGAGGAGGAACACGATAACGGCCACGATGACCAGGATGGTGTCCTGCAACATAGGACAAAAAAAAAAAACCATGAGGATGAGAATTCACCTTTATGGAGATGGAGCTTTTGCCCCTCAGTCCTGTTTACAGTACGTCACTGAAAAACCAGAGCAATTACGGTGCGTGTAAATACGATATACCCAGTCACTGAACACAGAGAGTGCATGAAGGCGGCTACCCAGCAGTAAAACCAGTGGGCGTGAACATCAAACAGAAAAGAAAATCCCTCCCCAGCCTATAGCTGGGAGATAAGCCTGGCAAACACAAGTTAATGATTGGGGCAGATCAGTGAGCGCGGCACTGCTCTAACACAGCGCGACGGCTATGACTATCAGCACGGCGCACAGACCTGCTGACAGCGTCATTAACTAACCCACCCCTGACGCGACACGTCCACATCCCAAACATGCTCCTTCCGTACCACATCACAGTGCCTGTGGTGACTTATTAAACAAAAATCCAAAAACGACATCACTTCCGCGTCACAAATCAAGGAGGCAGCTGGAATCTGAGACGGCATTGTCGTCTTTAATGTATATGAACATCTAAGGCTATTTCTCTAAACATGATCCATCCTGCAGGAAGGAGAATAAAAATTGGCCACTTGCTTAAACCTGGTTTCCTGTTTCTGTTGAATTTAGGTGTGGGTGGGGGGGGGGGTCACTCCTTAGAGCTGACTGGAGATGTTCCATGCTTGGGATGACTGAGGTCAGCAGCACACTGCATCTCCCTAATGGATCATGACCAAATTCAGTGCAGGAAAGCAGGTGTGAGTTCACCAGCATGGACGGCACCACCACAGCTGAAGGTTGCACTGCATCACCACTCTCTGTTCCAAAATCCCCCCAATTTTCTGGATTTAAAAAAAAGTGATTGGGCTGCCAGTGTGTTAAAGGGAGAGCTTGCATCAGCTCCTAAAATTGTGCACGTCTAAGAGTGTGAAATGCAATGATGTCGTCTTTCGCCCAGGGGGCCATTCCGGAATGACGGGAATTCCGGAGTCTCCTACCCGCATCCCCGTGGCATTCCGCTTCGCCTCCGCTTTCAGTCTCGTTGCGCGTAGAGCTGATTTAGACTTCTTGTAATCTTGTTTTCCTGAAAGACCCAAAGCAGAACAACCTTGCAGGCTGAACAATGCCGTTCATTCCTCCAGAAAACAGATTGTGGGGTTTGTAAGATCCCACTGGGTGACTCCCTCTGAACCACTATCTGACCCAAAAGTTGGCTGCTTTTTCATAGACCAGTGTTTCCCAGTCTGGCCCTCAGAGACACACACACAGTCCATGTTTCTGCTACCGGGAGCTGGGAGGGAGCAAAAATGTGGACTGTCTGGTATGGAGCTTGGAGGGAGCAAAAACATGGACCGACTGTGGGTACCCGAGGACCAAATTCGGAAACACCACTATAGACCAAACATAATCTCATCCTCCATCCTTGATGCATCTCAGTTAGTCATCTGTTTAACAACCGAGGCCTGAAGTGTCTGTCACACATGAAGTGACAGGTAACTCGTGTCATGTCTAATAGGCCATCTAGTTTACAGCAAACACCTGCAGAGGTAGCTTGTAAGCAGAAACACTTACTCTGCTCCAAATCACAGGGGAAGGACTAGGTGTGTGTCTCACTTTCCAACTTTTCAAGATTGTGCTGAAGTGCAAATGCAAACAGACACAGAGCCAGCCATCTGCTCTGAATTAATACTTAATTCTCACCAAAACAAACCCATTAATCAGCATATATGAATGAATTGTTAATAAAGTTTTCTGTTCTGTCAGTTTGATGTTTCATTTATAGGTAGCATCATTTTCGAACCACTGTCGTTTTCCTGGGTATTTGTAGGTCTGTCACCTTCACTTAGATGACGTGCTTCGGGTCATTCTTCTCCTCATTACCATGCTAGTCAACCAAAGGAAACAGACATTTTCTAACTGGACTGTAGAGAAGAGACTCACCGATCTGTTTACGGTACTGATCAACAGGCAACGTGGTTGCAGAAGCATCTTTCTTCCCCATCCTTTTTCTTTCTGTGCAAAACAAAACGGTTAGGCATAAGTGTCATACAGCCATGCGAAAGAAATGAGGCCTATGATTTCTGTAAAATATTCCCATGGGTGTAATTGTCTTGGGCTATAAATAGCTCTCTGTACACTTTTCTTCCGCTTTATGGGATGGTAAGCAATCTAGTATTTGTGCTTATACGATTAAATTTTGCACTACACCTGAGTCTTTAAAAAGCCTCACTGTGAATTGCATTTGATATGAAATTGCCTACAACATTCAACATACTCAAACATTTTCTTACATGAACCTTTAAGGTAACATGCCGCAGTGTAAAGTGATCTACCTTGCCCACTGTTCCAGCAGGCGTCTATTCATGTTTAACACAACAGTCACGTTTATTCTATGTACAACCTACAAGCTTTTTACTATGATTACTATGGCAACCGTGCAAAAGGAAAGTGCAAATGAAAAAAAAGAAGAAAATACTGTAAGGCTTTCCTTGGATACTAGAATCCCTGAAATTAAGAACAGTGATCTTGCTTAAAGCTAAAAATAAACAAACTAAACCAAGCCAGAAGGGTACAATTTGCTGTCACAAGATGTGTAGTTTGAATATCCACAATAAAATGGTCTAAGCGTATGCCATGAATCCCAAAAAAACCGAGAAGGTCAGATATAACAATAAAGAACAAATGTGATCAACACAAGCATCCTCAAATTAGGGCAATTTGTTCCAGGCACAGTCATGTCTGCTTTGCACACATTTTTAAATTGAGTTTGTGTTTAGAGTTGCTTTTACCACCATGCACAGTGTGCTTGAAATGATGTCTGAAATGACTTAATTAGCCTGTTTTCCGCATGCTGTCCTCGTGTAATCTGCAGGCTCAAAGTCCTAAATCCTATCTGAGGTAAGAAAGCAGGAACGAGACCCACAGCAGGCGTCGGGGTTCATACAGCCGCACAAAGTATCTGGTTGAATCACTTCGTGCATAAGCGACAACCGCGCCGATTTTAAAGACTGCATACTTAACCATTACTGCCATTAAACATTTAAAACACAAATAATCCTGCGACACGTACTCCGCGGTCGGTGATCACCCAACTTCAGGTCCGAACAGCTCCACACCCCCCAAAATGCCAACGCATCGCATCGAAGTTCAGCTTCCGGGTGGATGACTGTCGATCCCGTGACTGACGAGCTAAGCGGACCAATCATCGCAGGATATATCCCATTGCAGCCAATGGCAGACGAATAGGGGGCGGGGGGGAAGCACCTATGCGCCCCAATTGTTTGTTCCTTGTTTTTCATTAATGTACGCGCTCATTTTCAGCTGGACTTTTCTCTACATAGAGATGATTTCGCAAATTCATGTAGACACAGCAATGCATATGTATAGCTCGCAGTTACACCCCCCCTTACTTGAGCTCAGTTGGCGGTCTGGTCGAGTATGTGATCCGGTTCCTTGTTTTCCCGACCGATTCTACGCCCACCATCCCAGACTCAGCCCGTCTCTGCACTACCGGCTCCCTTATTGTCGGGTAGCGGCGATAAACAAGCTCATTTCCCCGTACATTCTCGGCCAGCTGTGGCAATCGATAACTTTGACTGTTTGCAGTTCAATCACTGTCCTTGACATCGACATTTATGTCTGTTTAAATGTTATATCTTGCAATGTCTAAGGCTATATATAGTTTTCTCACAGGAGCTTTATTTATCTGAACTATTGAAGATGCATTATGGTACGATATTGCTGGCAGACAGCCTTTCTGAAGGTGCGCTGTCGTTACCTTGTGTTTTCAGTCTCACATTACAGGCTCCTCTCCAAACGTTCTGTCTCTGCGTTTTATCGCCATTATTAATGCAATTGCACAGGCCATTCAATTAACCCTCCTTTGTCTCCAGTCACATTCGCACAGCAATTACCTTATGTGGGAAAGAAAGAAGTCCATAGCTACCATCTTATACAATTTTGCATATTTCTCTACTCATTCACGTCAAAGATGTTGAAGACCAAAGGACATAACCCATTTGTCACATCATCATCGTCATTATTTAAAATTTCTTTGTGGCTGTCATTTTATCCTGCACTGTAACTTTGTGTCACAACCCCAATGTTAGTGAAACCACTTCCTAACTTTGCTCATAACCTGTATATTGCAAACCTTATATATCCAGTAGACTAATTATGCCCTTAAAATTTAAAACTGCTGACACCTTTTGCACTCTGTTTATCTTCCGAAATGCATAAAAAGTCGATCCCTTGAATAATTTAATAAACTGTTATGCAGTAGTTATGGACTGATAATGGCCTAAAGCCAGGTCAGACATGAGTATTGCTGAGTATTTCGGAGTATTTGCGTATGCCTGGAGTCTCTGCTGGGATATGAGGACATGCAGGAGTTGCATCCTTAATGAAATCTTCTTAGGTGCAGGGCAGTCAATCATAGAATGTATTTCTTTGGAACCTGGGACTACAGTATTCAGATGAAAAGCACAGAAATAAGGGGAGACCATGCACAGTTTTCCATATCGTCTTCAGGCGATTGACTCCATCAACCATTTGAACATAGCAGTTGCAGATGTTCTCAGTCAGTCAAGTAAGGAGCTATTTAATGTTAGCTTTTGAAGTACAATCCTAACCCTAACTGCACCACCACTCAGATCATACCAAAAACTTCAGTCCACATTTCATTCCAGTTTTGTAGTCAAGGAGATGTACACTTTAGCGTAAGTGTTTATCTTTTTCACTAAATGCTGAACGTTAGAGCAGAATCTTCACTCAGAACCAAACAGTTGTGTAGCTGTCAGTAGATTTGTCATTATTATAGAGACACTTATTGGGATCCTTTGATAAAATTTTCTGACCAGCTTCCAGAAGTGCCACAACAATTACAGAGATCTAAAATTGAATGCGCTAATGTCATTGTGCAGGTCATTCATTTCCGTTACAGACACTCTTATGGGCCAGGGTGCACCATGTGAGTGTGATGTCACTGCTCTGTTTTTCCATGGAGATAAACATCTCATCAACATTTGCGCAAGCAGTAACAAAAGACCCTTCCAGAGTGTAGTTAACTTATTTTTTTTCTCCACACTGAATAGCAGTAATTTACATTTCTTTTGTTTACTGTGTTGAATTTTGCTTCTGTAATTGCATACAGTGTTATTCCTGCTTGGGGCATCCTGTGGATTATATTGTGTCTTTGCCACTGCTTGTAACTTATTGAAGTTTAAAATGATTTTCTTGCCTCCCAGGGCAGCTGATTTGTGTGCTGCACAGCAGTAACTAATAGATGTAATCTGCTTATAATATGCTCATATAATGCGTTATTTACTCTGCTGAAGACATCAGTATTGAGCACTTTAACACTCCTTCTGGTGTTAGGGCTTGTTCCCTGTGACATTCGCACTGTTAAAATCACAACAGATAAACTGCAGTGTGAGAGGGAAACAGACACACCTGGGTGCATGCCGCAATTATGCTGCATCATCCGAACAGATGACGTGTCTTCCTCTCACAGTAGGTTGTTCTGAAGCTTTTCACTGCGGATAAGAGTGTTGACTAAACACAGGAAGGGCGGGGGCTTTGATTTCACACATGTGTTGGTGTTTCTGCTCTTTGTGCCTCAAATGCACCTCCAGACTAGTGGACCTCAGAGGAAAGCCGTGATATCCAGGGTCTTAAATTAGATGATAGGTTCCCAGCAGCATTAATGTTGTATTAAAGCTTTATTGAAACAAGCTGATAACATTTGAAATGGTCATTTATTTCCCCCAAGGTTGTAATTGCCCAGTGAAAAATTGCACTGTCAAGACCGTAATTTCTTTTCTTCCGGACAGGCAAGCGCTCTGTTTAAGCCAGTCTCAGTCTCAGTCTCAGTCTCAGTCTCTGCCTGCAGCCGACACGTTTATACTGGCCGCAAAGGCCTTTGCTTAGGAGTCATGGGCGGTCTGGGGAAGGTCTGTCTGAAATGCAGACGGACACAAACTGGCCTCTTATTCTGAATTAGTCATCTATTAACTACATCTTTTGTCCCCATGTCTTTCTTTCTTATCCGGCCATATTCCGTCGTGCCAGACTGCCGTATGACATCATCCGTAAGGCAGAACTGGTGGCAAAAACAGTACATACCCTGTAAATATAATTATATATGACCTATCTGAAAATGAAAATAAGCTAAATTAATCTATAAAAAACAAACCACAGCATGCTGTGATTTATGTGTAATGATGATAAGGTCCCTAAACTCTTTGCCATCACTGTGCTATGCGGTTAAGCTCTATCAGTTCTCCAAAACATTTAGAATAGGTAAGTTCTGTTAGTTCTATAAACATTCTGTCATTAGCATGTAGCAGTGGTACATTCCAGCAGTACTCATAGCATTCTGTTTGCATGTAACAGCAGTAAGCTCTATCAGTTCTCTTAACATTCTGCAGAGTTGCCACCTCATGCTTTCAGCCTTTCATGCTCATGCAAGAAATCTTAAAGTAAATCTATATTTCTAAAATTCTAAAATTAGCTACCAGAAAAGCATTGGAGTAGTTTGCACACCCTACAGACTATTTACATGTTAAAACTGTTACGCATATGTAAATGCGTGTGCATGTGTGTGCAGACTTGTCTCGGACTGAGAAATCTCACTGCAGCCAGCTGATCAAAGTTGACGACCCCGACTCTCTTTTTAGCACGTGGCAGTGGTAAGGTCTGTCAGTTGTCGACGATGGCGACGATAAGCCCTATCTTAGCACTCTGTCATTAGCATGTACTGCCTGCAAGCTACATCATGCCCTGCTGAGGGAGAACATTGTGCAGAGGACAGGCACCCAGCTTGAGAAGCAATCAGGACTGAGATGTTCAGCTCCCTCCCGCCCGGCTGCATGCGGCAGCCCTTAATTGCAGCCGTACAACAATGCAAGCGCATAAAATATCCCCCAGGGTTCTCTTAGCTAAATGATATGGACCTGCTAGCAGATCGCTGCTATGTAGACGTGCCAGCAGAGTCTGCTGCAATTTGAGG